CTTACACTCACAGTACTCGCTCGCGAAAATCGATCGCGCGAAATTTCGGACACTCCCGTACGCGATGTAAAATACCGTGAAATGCAGTAAGCGACGTTCTTTACTTCCTGCCCGTTCGAATTGAGAAGAACGACAGAGCGAATTACGCCGTGAACGCCGAAGTCGCACAAATTTCTCTCCCCGAAAATGAAACAGATTACACGAAATCGATAGATAGTTAAAAGCGCGGTGCGTAAACGAGATGTAACCGCGACGAAGTACCACGGTTTACATTCATGTTTTAGATGAGTTGGTCTCGTGAAATATCCATGTACACGTTAATAAAGAGCCGTTGCCTCAACGCGCAATTCGTTTCTCATTACAAGTTGTAGAAACATAATAATTAATCTAGTAGCGTTACTTGTCACTGATAAAGGAGTCCAAATCAATAGCGTTTTATCCCTACATTCTTCGCGATCGAGTCTTGGAAACCGGTAACGTAAAAATAATATCACGCACGGAACAACTCTCGCTGCTGCCTGCCGGCTCGACGTTCGGCGAGCGAGTGATAAGTAAGGAATTTTCCATTACGTAGATGGGCCAACGAATTCTCAACGTTTTTTTGTTGTTTTTCACTCGGCGCGGTGACGTACGATGTTTTTGCGTACCATCATTGTACCTGAAGGTTGTCGCGCTCTCACTCGCTCACCGAACGTCGAGCCGGCAAGCAGTCGCTCCGTGCGTGGTATTGTTTTTGCGTTGTCGGTTTCAAAGACTCGATCGTGAAGAATGTAAAGATAAAACGCTATTGATTTAGACTCCTTTATCAGCGACAAGTAACGCTACTAGATTACAATAATTATTAAGTTTCTACAACTTGTAATGAGAAACGAATTGCGCGTTGAGGCGACGGCTTTTTATTAACGTGTACATGGATATTTCACGAGACCAACTCATCTAAAATATGAAAGTAAACCGTGGTATGTTGTCGCGGTTACATCTCGTTTACGCACCGCGCTTTTAACTATCTATCGATTTCGTGTAATCTGTTTCATTTTCGGGGAGAGAAATTTGTGCGACTTCGGCGTTCACGGCGTAATTCGCTCTGTCGTTCTTCGCAATTCGAACGGGCAGGAAGTAAAGAACGTCGCTTACTGCATTTCACGGTATTTTACATCGCGTACGGGAGTGTCCGAAATTTCGCGCGATCGATTTTCGCGAGTGAGTACTGTGAGTGTAAGTGCAACAAGAAAATCTGATAGAAGCAGGCCTAGACGGCATCGGGCAACGGCAGAGAAATCGTAAGTGTCTTACATTTTTGTTATTTGCTAATTGTGCAAAATAAAGCATCTGTTCTGTGCTTTTTATTTATTCAAATGATTCGAACGTGGATTCGAATAAGTGTTAGAGACAAAACCATACGTATAAAATTTTGTGAGTTCATATTTAAAAGGAAGACTTTCAGTATTCTATATAATTGTTTTAATAAATACCTATTGTGAAAAATATTAAATATAAAGTATATTTAATACAATAGTCTGGATTTTGCATAATTAGTCTATAATAATCGTATACATTTTTGTATTGTTACAGTTTAACATGTATAGTTAGCGATGTACAACTTTGCTGTTGCGAACTGTATCAGTGAGTGACAAATTACTTTTTATTTTAAATTGACGTTGCGCATATAATTACTTCTTCGCGTGCATACAAATTCTTAAAAATATACAATGCTTGACCACAAACTGCGCGCGCGAAGCACGCGTTTTATCGTTTCTAGTGTAATAAAAATAGACAGGATCAGTAAACTGTACGAATACACAGTTGAAAAATTGGTGTTAAATTTTACAGATATGACATGTCCCAAACGGTCCACACAAATTTTTGTGGACATGTTAAATAATCACACTAATACTCTGTTAATATTTTAACACAAAATAAATGCTAATCTTAAAATAATTTAAAATCAATTTTCTGTAAAATTAACATATTTTTAATTACAAAATGAATTTTTTTAAATGTAATTTTTATATTTTACAGATGTAATAAGTCAAATGACGGTTCGAAATTACTCTCATTTATGTTATATAGAATAAAATCAATATTTTATTCCGTAAATTTTAATAGATAAATCTCGTTACTAATAATATAGAATATATGTAGTGTGTAAGATTAAAAAATGAGTACACATTGTGTTGCTTTAACATTTTTTTCGGTTATTTTAATAATTCTACATTTGAGATCAATTAACACAAGAGCAATATGATAAATTAACACATGAATGTGTTAAACATTTAACCAGCATGTTTTAACAAGAAACAACAAATTTTCCAACTGTGTAGTTACAAATTAGAATAGTTGAAATAATTTTTAAGAAATGTCGATATTACTGTACTTGTTTTACGTCGTCCTACGATTACTTGATTTTCAGAGTAAATTTTAAAAGAAAACTCTCCGTGTATCGTAGCCTCGGCATTTTGATATCAAGATTTCCGCAGTTTAAAGTCGAAAAATAGACGCGAAGATATCATCGTTATACTGTTATTGCGACAAATATTACCACATGCCTCAGTGAGACGCCTCGCTTAGAGAGTAGGAAAGTCCAGGTTCAAACCCTGGCTGAGGTAATATTTTTCGCGATGAATTTTCTGTATTAAAACATTGACCGATTAATGTCGACTAGCTCGATTATTGTTATTTATTACTGGCAACTTAAAGAGATTTCTATATTAAGATTTCCGTCTCAAAACGACCTCGGGAATCTCGTTAACGAGCGGCACGACGGATCTGGAACAGCCTGAATTCAAACCCGAACTGTCGATTGAGCCTACTCGATCGGTTCGGCCTTTGAGAGTCAATGACCTCGGGAAGGGTCTCTCGACAAGTCTGCTCGCATATAGATACGCACGATCTGCCTCGTACACTTGGCGCGGTGCACTATCATGTTTCCTGATAAAGGGTGCTTTCCTTTTAGGAAACACAAATCGACACAAGTTAAAACAATTTCCCCGAGTCGAAATTTTGATACTATTTTGACACTTTTAAAGATAATTTACACCTACTTACTTGATCTATACACCTACATAGACCAGCAATAATAATTAACCTACTTTGATGATTATATTTTTTACTCCTCCCTTGAATCTTTCATTCTAAAAATTTACTACTTTAGCTCCTACTAAAAGGACCTACTTTAAGGCTAAATTGGCAAAAGTAGAAATTTCCGACGCTATCAGTTTTAAAGTAAGTGTAAATTTTGTACTTTCAGTTCGATCTCTTCTACTGTCTTAGGTCCTACTATATAATAGAATTAAGGGTTCAACATAGGGCCAAAATTTCGACTCGGGTTGCCACTGTGAAATGGCAAAGATTTTAAGAAAAGGTTTCGTCGAAAAGAGATTCCCCATACAGCACCAAAGCTTTCAGAAACATTTCAGAAAACATTGCTGCAATGTTGCAATGTTTCTGAAATGTTTCTGAAAGCTTCGGTGCTGTATGGGTCTATCGAAATACTCGGAGTGTTTCTTCCAAGGGGATAACCACCAGCTAAAATGTTGTCCCACCGATTACATGATTTCATTTGATTTCATCTAATTACAAATAATCTCATCTAATTGCAAATAATTTTCTCTTATACGCACGTTTAAAACTATGTGACGTTAAACCTCAAAATATATTTTTCTTATTTTACTAAGAAGTGTTTGCTTGTAGAAGTAATTTCAATTAAGATTGTAGTATTCGGTTAGGTAGAAAACGAGAGGGAAACCGCCGAGGGCATTGTGGTGTACAGATTTGCGGCATTACCAGGCATTAGGCCTTGCTGGAGCATCATAAAGATAAAATAAGATAAAATAAGACAAAACAAGATAAATGAAATGAAATAAGATAATAAAATAAAGTAATGCCCACCGGGCATTAGTGTACAAGATTTTGGTCAGCGGTTTTCCCCTCGGTAGAAAACGTGTTTCCTTGCTTTCCCACTTTTCCCACTAGTCTAACCGTGGTCTTAATGAAAAGTAATTTGGATTTGTATGTACTGTTTATTGTTCCGCAAATTTCCCCGCAAAGGTGTATCAACGTTTCAACCCGCTGTTCTAACAGCAACTACTTCAGTCATTACGAAAATAATACGCGCTTACAAGTGTAAACTACGATATGTATATTTGGATATTCGCTAAACAAAGTAAATTTTTTTTTGAAAATTGAAAACGAGCTGGGAAAACGTTCAAGTTCAATCTTTATTGTCTAACAAGTGAAGAAACTTGGAAATGAAGACAAAACGACCACACGGGGATTTCGTAAGGATTTTATAATGATTTCGGAGACACTGCCCCACGATTGCATCAAGTGGTTACCCCCTTGGTTTCTTCGGTCAAAAACACACTCCGACTCTCCTCCCGAGTAGAGTCGAAAAGTGTCGATTGACTTGAAATTAAATTCTGAAGGCCTGGTGTCCGCGATGCTAGAACTTGATCCAAGTTGTAGCTCCGAGAAATGTGCAGCCAACCAACTTGCAGCTACTCCATAAAAGCTGCACATTTCTCGAAACTAGAACCTGGGCCAAGTTCTGGCATCGCGGACGCAGGCCTTAAGCCTTGTGTCCACGATTCAAGAACTGTGTCCAGGTTCCAAGAAATTTGCAACCAATCAACCTGTATCTTTTATGGAAAAGCTGCAAGTTGATTGGCTACGCATTTCTTGAAACTAGAACTTGGACACAGTTCTTGGATCGTGGACACAAGGCTTTGAGGCCCTCCTTTATCGATAAATGCGCCTCTAAAAGTGGCTAATGAGCCTTCTGATTGGCCACAAACCACTTTTGACAGCCTTCAGAAAGAGGGTTCGGTATGCGGGCCTAGATGGAAGGCGACGTGTGTCGAAAATATAGTAGACCGTGTTCTCCGAAAGGAAAGCAGCCGAAGTTGTTGACATGTGGACAACGCGACCGGCGGCGTCGAGAGCGAAGGTGCTAAATACCGAAGACCGAAGCCGCGGGGAAAATATCTCAATTCTCGCCGGGCGAGAGGAAACGCGCGTGGATCGCTTTTCACGTAGTCGTAGATCTGCCGAAATTATTTCGAGCGTCCACCAGCGGCGTCGGCCAATTTTGCGTAGATTCTACAATACACTCGCGCGGCCCGAGATTGCAGCCGGAAGGATACGCATCTCCTCCCGGACGTATCGGGATTCCAGTGAAGCAATTACGGAGTCAAAGTTATCGGGGCCGCGACACGTTCGACGTGTCAAAAGTAGCGCTTATTCAAACTTTTATGAAGTAGTAGGCTCGCGCCTAAGCGCGTACGCGAGAGGCGGAAAAAGCGATAGAGGAGGAGGAGGAGGAGTAGGCGCGCGCGCGCGCCGCGCCGCGCCGCGAGCAACAGGCAGGAAAAACAGCGGGCCGCGTGGTACCAACCTGTCGCTCTTGTCGACCAGCTTGAGGGTCGCAAGCTCCTGGAGCGGCGGCTCCGCGGATATGCCCTGGGCACGGTCGCGCGTACGCGGCTTCGTCGGCGTGAGCGGCGGCGCCGCGCTGAAGGGCAACACGCTCAGGAACTTGTCCAGGTGGCTGCGCAGCTCCTGGATCTCGGCGTCCCGGCAGCCGACCACGGCCTCCAGCTCGGCGATCCTCTCGTCCTTGACCCGCAGCAGCTCCTGGAGCTCCCTCAGGGTGCCCATGGTGGCGATCGCGGCACCTCCACCGGCACCCAAGTGCGCCACTTGCGTGACTTGCGTGGTGGTGGCGGTCGTGGCGATGATGCTGGTGCCGCTGGCGACGGCCGCGGCGCCTTCCGTCGGTAGCTGCGTCGACGACGCGGCGGCGGCGGTGACGGCGGCCTCGGCGACGCCGGCGGCGGCGGCGTCGTCCTCCTCGTCGGCGGGCGGCTGCTGCGACGACGAGAAGCACAGCGAGTCGAAGCACACGCGCATAGACACGCAGGCGTCGCCGATGGGCACTCGGTATTTCGTACCCTCGTCCATTCAACTTGCCGTGATGTGCGATTGAGGTGAATCCATGCGCGGAGCGTCCCGGTGACCCGACGGGGACGTCGTCGGTCGTTACTATCGCGCCAATTCGCGTGATTCGCGCTCGTCCGAAGAGCGGCGGACCGACGTCCTCCTCCGCCTCCGTGACGTCCTGTGCGCGCCGCGGCCGCCTGTCGGTCGACCGAGAGAGCGTGCGGCCGCGCGGAGCGGGAGGGAAAAGGACGGCGAGAGGGAAAGGGAGGGAGAGAGAAAGAGAGAGAGACGAGAATAGACAGCGTCCGGAGCCGACGCCGTCGCGCGCTCGTCGACCCACGTCGACCAACTGCATATCGAACTCTTGGGAGCCGAGCGGATTCTCCATGTGCCGGTCGCGCCGCGACTCCGTGGGTAAGAGTGCGCGCTCCTTGCTCGAGCGTCGATAAGGTAGGAGAGCGAGTTTAATTTTTACGTAATAATTATTTACGTAATCTCTTTTTACAGCTCGTCATCACTTGTCATATCTTTTTATAACTTCGCAGTAGCGACAAAATCACGATTGAAGCTAGAGACTATTGAATATAGTAAACATTTTTGGTATCCAACAGTACCAAAAGTTTATAAAATTATGTAAAATATATTTTACACAATTATACATTGTATAAGATTGATTAACGTCTCGACGTTGATCCGATATCATAATTTCAGTAGTCGCGAAGGCACACAATGTTTGTCACCATTAGTGGGCGTCGCTCCTCTCCTAGGTTCGAGTATTACAGCGAGTAGACGTGAAATTAAATTTCTATATGTACGTTAACACAATTATTATAAGTTTATCCGATCATGTGTCTGTTCCTCTTCACATTTCTTTGTACGACTATACATTTGAGTTGCTGAAGACGATCCTAAATAAAAATCGAAACGCTCAAGATTAAATACAATTATCGACAACTATAACGAAGTGTTGATTTCTGCGCACCACCTACAGCGCTTGGTTTCTCAAGTAGCCCGTTACCTGCCTTCTTTTAAATTACGGAACCTGAGTTGTTAATTAAAGTATAAGACGTTTGGCAGTAAAACTTAATAATAAATGGTAACCAATTTTATTACTCTTATCCATACCTTATAAATATCATTGCAAAAAAGCGTCCATATAGTTCCTGTGCATGTAGATATGTACAACAAAATATGTACAATTTATAAATAAAAAAAATCATTACATTTCAATTGTGCTACTGAGATTTGTCATTGCGACAGAAGAGGCTCGCTTCCTGTCCTTAGCACAGTTTTCGTGACGTTCGTGAGCTCGTCGAAATTACACTGAAGTTTCTCACTTTTCTGCGCCTCGTCCGGCTCCAGGAACGCCTCGTTCAAGCAGACGTTGTTCAAGCTGACGGCGCTATTTGAGAAAATGGCCGTGCCAAGATTTGGATTTTTCATGTCGACACTGTTGGCACGATTCTTCGACGGGAATTTCGCGGGGACGTCGTCCTTGTCAGGTTGCGTGTGCGACGACATTATGTCGCACGCCTTCCCAAGAATGATTAAACTATTCAGTATGCGAAGAGATACCAATATGAGATAAGCTAATAATAGAAGTATGATATTAGCGGGTCTCGCGGATGGCGTCAGGGTCGTGCACAGTACGCGCGCCATGGCGACTCCCAGAGGAAGAGGTATGAAGCCCATACGCCGTGCAACCAGGTCTGAGGGATCCGAGAACGCTGTCTCGCGACGTGTCTGCGCCATGTCGTAGGCCAGGCTCACGGTATAATCCCTGTAGACGGTGGAAGGCAGCTCGTTGAAACGTGTGATGAACGCATGCTTCACCTTTACGGAAATTACATTGTCATTAGCATGGAGATGACTCGCACACGGTTTACCAACATTTTTAATGTAGGCAGTGGCGATTGAAACGTGCGAGCAAATAATTAAATTATCAATAAGAATGATCCGAACAATTTAGTGGTAGAAATAATCTGATTCGATTTCCGACCTGATATTTCTTCGCACACGTCTCCGTAATATACGATTCATTTTGCGATACAAACCCAATCGACTAGAACTTCTGCCAATAACAGTAGCACGCAATCGGGTAGCAAGACAGCGAGACGATCGCTGTGCCATGCGTACTCTTTCATCGTTTGCAGACTCACTGCAAGGAGCAGCATAATGAGATGGAATCTTTCCCTGACGTCGGCGCATGATAATTGAAACAAGTTGTTCTTGTCGAATTTCTTGAAGACGGAACCCTTCAGTTCTACAAACTAAAAATACTCCGCGTGAAATACTCTTGACTAGTAAAGGTTAAACAATTAAAAGTTAAGCCAATAAGTCAATAACTTTCAATTTAACGTAATTTTATACGTCTTTAACTTAAACTAGTCATTTTCAAATACCTATTAACTTTTTCTTTATACAAATTTAAATAAATAACTCAAGAAAGTCGAGTATACATACGAACACGGTTGTGTTCGCCAAAAAATTATATGTTACAGCTAATATTTTATTTCGTACGACGAGTTTACCCTATTTGAAACCGTGAAAATACTTTTTACAAACAAAGTGAATGCTTTACTTCTCCCACTTACATTGTTGGACATCATAATTGTGAGAAGCGCCTTGTTACTGCTGTTGATTGCCACATTCAACGTCGTCGCTTGGAATAACACCAATATACTGTGCAACACTTTAAAGGGAAGGCAGTCAAGGTATAAACATCTTTCGTTACGGCCTAAGCTTGTCCCGATCGAATTAATCGTAGCAACGTAATTAAACGAAGGATACGGACATAAGCGACGGCAAACAGGAGATGCGGTAGTGTACCGAAATGTTTCGTACGGGTGGAATTCGAGCGCGAACGCGGCTCGGTGGCGGTCCAGAGCAGGGCGTCTATCGTGTCCTGGCCGAAAGCGCTGAAAAGACGGTCTCCCACTTCCAACATATTATAAAATATGTATAACTTTATAACCGATTGGCTCTTAACTAAATGATACATCATGGAGGTGTCCACCTTCCAGGTAGCCGCCCAGCAACCGACCACCACGATTCCCTTCAACAAATCGCACACTTCGGCTGGACTCAAGTATCTCTCCGTGCTTTTCGCGTGCTCTTTCTCGCTCCTGCGAAACGAGGGATCGCGATGAGATAATCTCGGGAAACGAACACGGTAAGGCGACCAAATTTGGATCGGACACCAAGTGCGGATCGGCAATTCGACGAGTCGCTTACAAGCGACGTTCTAAAGTGATTCGCTTCAATTTTGCTCTTTTATACATTAACAACGTTGCGCTACATCGTCGACATCATAAAAGGCGTCGACGTGTTTTTACGAGGAGTAAACCGCCGAGGGTATTGTGGTGTACAGATTTGCGGCATTACTGGGCATTTTTTGGGGCATTGTAAAGATAAAATAAGATAATAGGATAAAGTAATGCCCACTGGGCACTAGTTGGTGTACATGATTTTGGTCAGCTGTTTACCCCTCGTGTTTTTATTAACAACTCGCCAAATTGTCGATCCGCATTTGGTATTTGATCCGAACTTGGTCACCTTGCCCTACGTGTCGCCTTAAAACGATATCTCTCGGTACCTCAGGTAGTGTCGTAAAGGCCTCGTTATCACCGCCCACAAAGCCATTGCGAATCGCAGCGGTAAAAAGGTATACACGAAGAGGAAGGAGTCGGCGCACTACAAAAATGGCAACAATAGCAAAATGTATCGCGTGTAATGCGACAGCTGCCGCTTCAAGTGTCGCTGTACCTGAAGGAACCCATACGCCATGAAGTTCTCCACCTCCCGAGGAATTTTCATGAACGAGTAGACCTTCTCCCGCCTCGCGGAGAATCTCTCCTCGTCGTGTTCCAGCTGATAGCCCCTCGTTAATTCCGTCCTTAAAAATTGCATCAACGATACCCCTGCGGAGAAGGTAAACGCATTCGCTGAATAAATTGCAGATGTAAATTCGAAGTAACTTGTGCTCCATGATAGCGGCTACTATTTAACAGCCTTTGCCAATAACAATGAAACAGCGATACAGAAAAGCGGGACTCGTGGCGAGTACAAACGGAGTACAGAAGACCCGTCGCAGTTCGCAAGGACCGCGTTTCAAACTTATCTCTTTCTCTCTGCGCGAGTCCGCGGCAAATGCACTTTGAAAAAAGCCCCAGGAACATCACCTCTGGGCCGCGGTTCGGGAACGTCACTCGAGTGCCCCAGCGTGTTCATTTTATCCTCGTTCAACATTCGGCGAGCGACAAAGATAAAATAGTACACTAGGGCACTAGGTGACGTTTTCGAGCGTATCCCTGCGTTGATGATCGACGTCATCTTATCTAATCTATCAAAGCGTGTGTGTGCGTGTGTGTTTGCGCGCGCGTGTGTGCGCGCGCGAGACACCGCTCTTTTTTTCCCTCCTGTTTTACGTGTCACACGACCACTGCCCCCCCCCCCCCCCGCCCCCGCGGAAAAGCGCCGTTCCGTCTGCAGGCGGTCGCGCGGCACTTACGCTGCTTCCTCTTCTGCGCATCCTGACCGTCGGACAATTGCAGCCTGCGGCGCGGCGGGTCCACGCACTCCACGCGCTCGTCGTGGGGCGACACGTGAGTCTCGGACCCGCGGAAACGGATCGTCCTCTTCTCCGGACAGCTCCGCTCCGCGGCGGAGTCCCCGTCGCTGGCGCGCGCGTCCTGCATCGCTCGCCGGCCGACGTTGATCAACGGGGGTTCGCGCGACGACGTACGGTCATTCTAGCCAGCAGCAGCCCGCGGCGTGTCTCACGTCGACCGCATCTCGTCCCGAACCTCGACGCTGCTCCGGGCGAACTGTCACAACAGCACCTAGCGGCGGGAAGAGAGAGAGAGAGAGAGAGAGAGAGAGAGAAAGATAGAGAGGGACCACAACAGTGATGTCAGAATGGTCGCGTTTTTAGCGCATGCGCGCCGACTTGGGGCTCACTGAAGTACCTGCTGCGGACAAATGGGTGTGTCGCTAGTCGCCCGTGAGAAAGTTTCTTGAAGAAAATTTGACAAAACATTTTTACGGACGGGAGACCTTTTCTGACAGCCGTACGTCTTTTTGCTTGGATATAATG